TGAGCCGTCTCACCAGTCCCAAGAGTAACTTTTAACATTCTATGGCAGTACTAAAGTATGAGAAATGTCTTCTAATATTCTGTGGTTGACAGCAATTAATTGTATACTTCAAAATAGCTGGTAGAGAGGATGTTTAATGTTTCCGACACAGAGAGATGATGTCTTCGTTGATGGATTTGTCAATTACTTGATCTGACCACATTGTAAACATATATTAAAATATGTACAATTATTTTCATCAAAACAACAAGAGCCAGGTGTGGCGGTGCATGACTATGACCTAGCACTTAGGAGGTAGAGACAGGAGAATCAGGAATCCAAAGTAATTTTCAGCTACATAGTGCATTCAAGCCCAGCCTGCACTGGATGGTCTCTTCATATGTATCTACTTTAAAAACCAGAACTAAACAACAAAAACTACCAACTAACCTCCCCAACCAACCAAAACAAAAAATACATTTAAAAAAAATCACAATGAATAATAATAATTATTATTTACCACTGTTGGATTTTAAGTGTTTCACAGAGGTCATGTGTTGGAAGCTTTGGAAGGCGGTAGATCTATTAGGAGGCAGAACCTAGTATAACGCCTTAGATCGTTAGGAGTGTGCCCTTAAAGGCTAGGAGACCTTGTTCTCATCCGCAGGGCCACTGGCTTCACTGTGCCCCACCTCCATGATGTACTTACTACACTGTCATGGGGCTCAAAGCAACAGAGACTACCAATCACGCACTGAAACCCCCCCAAGACTCTTACCCCAAACTTTCCTCTTTTAAAACCACGGATCTCGGGCATTTTGCTACAGTACAGAAAGCCGACTGACACAATGAGGGTGGTTACTTTTTCTTAAACCAGCAATGAATAAGCAGTGAGACTTCAGAGGACACAGAGCTGGTGGCAATGGAAAATGGTCCCGTCTCAATGGAAAACAGTCTAGTAGTTCCTCAAGAGAGGATACACAGAACAGCAATTCCATGTGACTAGCAATTCCTCAATATGTGCATGCCCCAATGAACTAAAAAGAAGGACTCAAACAGGTATTTACACAACACGGCCCATAGTAACCCAATGTAGGTTCCTGAACCTAAAATGTGGCTAAACAAAAAACACAACAAAACAAAACAAAAACCAAAAAGAAACCAGAGTATACACACTCCCGGGAATGTTATTCAGCCATGAAAAAGGAAATTCAGACACATCCTACAATATGAATGAGCTCTGATGATGTCACTCTAGGTAACACAGACCACAAAAAGACACTTGAGTGAGTCGCCTAGAATAGTCCGAACCACAGAGTCAAACTTGTAGCTGGTAGATGCTAGAGGCAAGAGGGAAGCAGGAAGGGGAGCCACTGTTGAATGAATATGGGGTTTTAGCTTGGTCACCTGAAAAGTACTGGAGGTGGGTGGTAGTGACCAGGGACCACAGTGTAAATGTATTTAGTGGCACTGAACTGCATTTAAATGTCTTTTCTAAAACAGTGACTCTTTTACACACTTCACTAATTTTCAAACTTAATTTTAAGCATGGGACTCCTTAGCGGTAGTGTCTGAGTCTCTCTCCAATCTACCGTGCTCATTTGTTTGAAGAATGTGCATCTCCAGTTTGCTGAGTGATAAGCCAGGAAGTCCCTGCTGCTAGATAGGGCTAGGACAGCTGACACAGCTGGGAGGAACCTGTCAGAGGACAGTCCCCATGAGATAACTGTGAAAGGGTGAAACTGTGGCTCACGTGGACAGCCTGAGGCCAACTGTGTCACCCACAGGGAGGGCAGAAAGAGGCTCAGCAACCAGCTGCACTGCCCAGGTGGACCAGCCCCGAAGGTCCCTGGGAAGTGGACATTCAAATGGCTGTAGGACCCAGCTGATGGGAGGATGGGGAGTGTCACCATGTGGGTGGGAAGGGCCCAACCCATCCTTATAAACTGGAAAACCAATTTTCTTAGGAAAGTGACTTAAAAAAAAGAAAACTTGTATGCGTGCTTTGCCTGCATGCATTTCTGTGCATTATATGCACATCTGATGCTGGAGACCAGAAGATGGCATCAGGTCCCTTGGGACTGGAGTTGTGGGTGGGAATGAGCTGACATGTGGGTGCTGGGAATTGAAATCAGGTAATCCAGAAGAACAGCCAGTGCTCTTAACCACTGAGCCGTCTCTCTTGTTCATTTTTATAAATGATAAAATCTGGCTGAGAACCACAGTGGGGGTGAGAGTACTAATGGAAGCTGAGGTGGGCATCTCAGGTTTGCAGGGTTACCTAAGGATTTTATAGAGTCTATCATTTCCTGCTTTAATGTAAATGTGTGGTCTGAAAATGCTTAACTGACAAGCAATGATCTGATTAAAGTCATTGGACATTGTGAGCTGATTTCCTTCAATGCTGGCTTCCTAGGCACATTTAGGATGGTGTGATGGTTTGGACAGGAATGGCCCCATAGACTCCTGTGTTTAAATTCTTGGCCCAGAGGGAGTGGCACTATTAGGGGTGTGGCCTTGTTGGAGTAGGTGTGGCCTTGTTAGAGTAAATGTGTCACCGTGGAGCTGGGCTTTGAAGTCTCCTATGCTCAAGACAGGCCCAGTGTGGCACATAGTCTCCTGCTGCAAACAAATCAAGATGTGGAACTCTTAGTTCCTTCCTTCTCCAGCACCATGTCTGTCTGCATGTCCCCATGCTCTAAACTGTAAGCCAGCCCCAATTAAATGTTGTCCTTTATAAGAGTTGTCGTGGTCACTGTATCTCTTCATGGCAATAGAAACCCTAGCTATAACGGATACCCTTCTGTTTACGGTCCTAGACAAGTACCCAGGGACAGAGAACACTTAAAACGAGGACACAAAGTTACCAGTAACATATGTAAAAGATACATGTGGACCAGCATTGCAAACAGCATAGCAATTTATAGTCCCGTCTACATTGTAAATACTGTTGTGATGTTTATCCTAGGTCTCCATCGGACTCCAGGCTTCCCCGGCCTCCCAGCTGCGGGGCGAGCAGAGACGTCCAGTTCTCATTCCTGTCACTCCTGAGGACTTTATTTTGACTTAACTCAATCAAGAGCACACACACTACCCAGAGGAAAGAGGATAAAAGGTGGGAGCTAGAGGGTGAACAAAGACAACAGCTTTCCTTGCCTTTTGTCCCCTTAGCCTTCTGTGCCCCACGCCTCATCATGTTCCCAGCATTAGTCAGGGGCTGCTAGATCTGTCCTCGCTGCTGATTCTGGAACCCGTGTAGACTGTACACTCTCTGAGGGAAAGGGTATGTCCGTTTGTTAGTCCAGGACTCTAACACAGTGGGCCATTACACTGAGCCAGGAATTATTCTAAGAAACATATAAGGAATTATACATATATTAACCCCTTTTAATCTTCCTAATGGGCCACAGATCATCCTATAGTTATCTGCAGTCAGCAGCTAGGTAGATTAAAGTCTAGAGGTTAACTAACTAGCTCAAGCTCAGACAGCTAGTTAATTCTAGAAATCCTGCTACTTTAGTCAAAGTGGGTCTCTCCAAGCAGGGGTCCTGTGCCTTGGTACTTGGTACTTTGGGGACGTTAGCAGGTAGTAAGAATACTGATATACCCTGAGGGTGAGGGTCCTGCCAGTCCTGGAATCCCTAGCAGAAATGCCTCAGTCCCATAGGCTTTGTGCTTCCCTCTGCCCTATCAGGCTGGTACTTCAGGGGACAGGGACTTCGCAGGGCATATGGTCTATTTGGAACAGTTTCTCCACCACCTTGGCTCTCCCTTCTCCCTATCCCAGGCTTCTGACCAGAGCAGCAGCTGGGGTCTGACTACAACAGGACTTCTCTCTATCCTAGCTCCAGGCTGGCGGATCTGATGTGAGGTCGGCTGCCCCTGGGATCTTCCAGGCAGTAAACAAGCCATGCATGCGTCAGTTGTTTTGCTCCAGAGCAGCCTCATCAGCTGGACAGACCCTGACCAAACCTGCCAAGTTTATCCCCCTGGGTGGGCTGCAGGCTGGGAGTGGTGGATGGCCTGGAACTCAGCACGGTCTTTTCATGCCCTTGAAGCTGCAGGGTTTTCTTAGGAGCAGCAATCTCTGGCAGCATGGTCTTAGATACCTGAGAGATAGGGTAAGGGCTCTTGTGGCCTTACAGGGTATCTTAGGGATGGAGACCCCCTTCCCCCTCCCCCAGAACACCATAGACGAAGAAAGGAAGTGGCAGGTCTGCTGAGAGACACACCAGAGAACTTTCCAGAACCATGTAGCTCTCTGGTCTCAGGGCTTGAAAAAATTGGCCAGAACATCCCAAACCCCAACAGTTCAAACACTTCCTGTCTTCTTTCCACTCCCAAGACTGCTGTGTCTGCCCCAGCTGTCTTCCCAAATCTACTCTGTCAGAAAAAGATAAACTGAGGATCCCTGGGGGTCCAAGGGCAGGAAAGAAGGCTAAAGGCTGGGGAAGCCCTGGCAGGGGAAGTGGAGTCACCACCCCCACTCTTTTTTTTTTTGGTTTTTTGAGACAGGGTTTCTCTGTGTAGCCCTGGCTGTCCTGGAACTCACTCTGTAGACCAGGCTGGCCTTGAACTCAGAAATCCACCTGTCTCTGCCTCCCAAGTGCTGGGATTAAAGACGTGCGCCACCACTGCACAGCCACCACCCCCACTCTTGTTTGACTGGCTCTTTCATCTAAATGCTGCTTTCTCTTAGCAGGTAGAAGGAGATGACATAATTAGCCTCTTCTTGCAAAGGTGGAAGTAAATCATCCAGTCTGCCCGGTTTGCAGAAGAGCTGGGTCTCAGGTATGTTCCCAGGCCTCTTTGAAGTACAGGCTCTTAATTGACCAATCAGCTCCTCTGTTTCCAGCTCCTCCCACTATGCACATCTATAATAAGCCACATCTGGTTGCAGAGGCAGTCACCGCGTGCACAGAAGCCCTCTGCAGATGACTTTTGTCACAGCACAGGAAACCCGTCCCCTGCCACCGCCCTGTCCTCCCACGCCTCCTGCACCGGCCGGCCTCTGTGCTTACCCCGTTGTGATGTCATCATCCTCTGTCATGGTCTTGCCCATGAGGTCACTGTCACTCATGTAGCCGGACTTGAGGTCCACCTCGTCAGAGTCCAGGGACTCCACCAGCTCCAGGCGAGAGATGTGGCTGAGTTTGCTGGGGCTCCGCATGGGCATCGTGTGGGAGTAGTGTGCCCGTTCCCCATGCATGTACCAGGCTGGTGGCCCCTCGGAACGGCAGCTCCCCCCAACAGAGGGCGCGTCGCCAGCCTGCAGCCGGGGGCTGGACTGGCCGTAGCGCCAAGAGAGAGGAGAGGAGCGGTTGGAGAGGCTGGACACGCTTCGAGGGTTGGCATCATCACTGTCGTAACAAGACATCTCCAGGGAGCTGTGGAGAGAGCGGACAGCAGATTTAGTCCTCAGCCCAGTCACCCTATGCTGTCAGCTCATTGAGAGGCCCCTCTGTGGGCATGTTCCTTGGTTACAGGATATCTCAGGCTGTCGAGAGACAATGATTCTACTAAGAACCCAATGTACCCATCCCATACCGAGTCTATCCTGGGAGTGTGGCCAGTGTTTAATACATTTTTTGAGTCATTTTTTGGTAAATGGCCCAAAGAAAGAAATGAATTTTGCTGGCCCACTGTTTCCCATCAGTGAGACGGGATAATGCCTTTCTACTCGACGTATGGATTGTAGCCATACAGAGCTGACTGGGCCTGACATAGAGATGCTCATCGAACCAGAAGGAGCCAGTGAGGTCTGGTGGGGGGCGGAGAGTGCAGACCGCTGATCACCAGAGCTCAGAAGACCTTGACTCGCCATTTTGTTCAGGGTGGATAATCAAGGTGGCCATCATCTCTGTCTATCAGTGAGCAAAAGATTAGCTGATCCCCAGGTACCAGATGTAGGTAAACCTAAAACCGACTGGTGAAGGTACAAGGCAAGCTTGGATATTAAAGCAGGCCCCAGGAAGAGTGGTCAGCCATGGGCCTGGGCATCAGGGGAAGAACCAGACGCCCCACCCTATCCCCAGCCCCCTAGGGAACAGACATGGCCTTCACTGGGTAGAGGACCCAGGAAAGCAGATGAAAGATACAGCAAAATTCACAGTCACAAGCCTTAAGGCCACTAGGCCAGGACAAGGAAGCCACAGGCAGGTTAATATCAGAGGGCCTAAGGCTATGGTCCCCGGGTGCTTCTTTCACAGGGCCAGAGAGGAAATATGGCTGAGATCTGGCAAGAATAGTGGTCATGGCTTTCTTCAGGCTGTGGCTGGTAAGTCTAGCACCACCACCAAGCCTAGCAATGGCGCTGCACAAAATAACTCGATTCTTCTCTAGCACATGGCCTGACTGACGTCAGACAGGGTTGAATCGATGACATGCGTAAGGTATGTAGGCCACCGAAACTGGGTGGGCTGAGACAACCTCTGGCTGGACATGGGGTATGCAAAGCAAAAGAATCTTTGATCTGTGATCACTTCTCATTCACATGGGACGTGAGTCACAGGTTATTGGTTTTATTTTAATTGTTTTTATGAAGTTGCTTGAAAAAAGAAAAGCCCTCCCAAATAGTCTATTGAGCCTGAGAAAATGGTCTTCCATTTCCTTAGCAGAATTGGAGGAGTCAGTGGTCCTGAAAATCAGCATGATGGGGTCCTTGCAGCTGACCCGTGGGAATGAGTGACCTCTTGCGTGCTGGCCTCCACCCATCTTTCCCTCTAGGCCCAACAGTCCCAGCATCCCTTGCAGTTCTGCCTCAGCTTCTAGTTGCTGTGGACCTCAACACCATCTCCTAGGGGACAATGGGAGTTCCCTGATGGCAGGGAAGCCATGGTCATGGCGTAACTCAGTCTGAATGCTCACCCCCATATTCTAGTACCTCATGAGGGATCATCAGGGAGCAGACCCAGGATGACTGTACTGAATGCAGTAGAGAATGTCTCAACACAGATGAAGGTCGGGGCCTCCTGCAGTAAGTACTTAGCAAAAATAAGCTGATGAGATGATGATGGTGGTGGTGATGAGGAAGAGGAGGAGGAGGAGGAGGAGGAGGAACAGGATGGAGCAGAAGGAGCAGCATGAGACCATGCTGAGAACATGGGGGTACACAGGGGAACTGGTTTGGGTACTTGGCTTCCAACACAGTAGCAAGCACGTAAGGAAGTGAGGGTTCCCCACTCACTTCTGCCTCTGGCCTACCCTCTGTGGTACTCTCTGAACATAAAATCCCTCTTCCCCTCTTTTGAGGCTCTATTTTATTGTTGTTGTTGTTGGTTTTATTTTGTTTTGGTTTGGTTTGGTTTCCCAAGACAGGGTTTCTCTATGTAGCCTTGGCTATCCTGGAACTCACTCTGTAGACTAGACTGACCTCGAACTCAGAGATCCATGTGCCTCAGCCTCACGAGTGCTGGGATTCAAGGGATGCAATACCCATCTAGTTTCCTTCCTTCCTTCCTTCCTTCCTTCCTTTCTTTCTTTCTCTCTTTCTCTCTTTCTTTCTTTTCTCTCTCTCTCTCTCTCTTTCTCTCTCTCTCTCTTTCTTTCTTTTTTTCTTCACTAAACCCCATCTCTAGTTCTCAAGGAAAAGGGTTTCTAGCTAACAGCTGATTGTCTGAACTAAAACCAGCGCTTAGCCCAAGACTTGTCTCTCAGGTGAGGTCAGTTTTGTTTCCTCTCCTCACCATCCCTAACCTCAGACTCTCCTCACTGAGGGAAACACACCTACAGAAATAGAGGATGTGGAAAGAGAAGTTTCCAGAAAGGAACTGAGTCTAAGTCACCCTGTGAGTCCCAAGGGGAGGGCAACCTTGGCAGATGCACCTTTGAACCCAAGGCCTTCGGGGATAAGACTGTGTTCTGAAGGTTGGTGCCTCATGCTGTGTGGACACACAACTGCCTCCATCAGCCTGTGGGGTCCAGCATGTGTAGCTTCTCTCAGGTCTTTTTTTCTAGCCTAGGGAATATTGCTCCAAGGTACAGGGAAAGATTGATTGATAAAAGGCACTTTAAAAAGCTAAAGAGCCATAAAAGTCAGGACACTGGTGTTTGGGTTATCCAAGTGTGGACCAGAGCTAATGTAAACTAAAGGCTAAGAGAGGAAGTGACCCGGAGTCCACAGTAAACAGACGACCCAGACGCCTGTTGGTACTTTCTTTTCCATAAAGGGAGACAGGAGCCAGAGGCCCCAAGGCTCTTGTCTCAACCAGTCAGCTTTACAGAAGGCTTTAGGCTTCCCTTCCCATCCAAGCAGAGTCTTCCCTACTTCCCTGGGGCCTTGGGGCAAGCATGAAGACACCAGGAGGCTGGAGCAGCTGCCTCTGCCCTGCTTCTGTGGGTGAGTCATTTGGGGTGTAACTCTCAGAGCAGCTCAGCAATTCTCAGCTTCTTTGGCACGATCCTGGCCGGTGACTTGGCACTGAGAGATGTCCCAGAAAGTTCCTTGGATAGGGAAAAGATTCGTCTACAGGGGTCTAGACTGTAGGATGATTCAGCTGAGTTAGAGCCTCCACTCTACCTGGATTCCTGCTTAGGGCTGTACCAGGGCTCCTGAAGCAACACAGACCACCCGCTTTCCCCAGACTCCCTTGACTCGCTCCTCTCTAGTCGTCAGGAAGATGCTTCGGTATCTGGGAGTAAGAGCCAGCTCTCTCAAGGCATGGATGTGAGTGGGGATGTGGGAGGTGGAGGGAGGTAAGGGAAGGAGAAAGGTCTCAGCAAGAAGACCTAGAGCCAAAGGATGAAGGCTTCTGAAGACGGGTTCAGCAGCAGTCATGTGTTCCCACATAGACTGAGATGCCCTAAAGGTAACAGGCCTCCTGACAACGAAGGTACCCAAGTGTGTCTGCCTACTCCTCTGGCCACGCCCTGAGCTAATGAAAGTCCCTTTCCCATTGACCCTGTGACCCAGCTTTGCGTTCAGTTTTCCAGCACCAGGAGACAAACAGGAACCTATCTCTAGTTCAACTGAGGAGGAGGCTTCTGGTTCTTAATACACAGGCTTCTAGTCTCTGTGTCCATGCCCCACGATTTCCCAATCTTGGCTCCCTGCTCACCTCCCCCCCTCAGAACTTAGCTGGGCCCTCTGTCCCCCTTAGAGCTGACAGTATGAGCTCATCTGAACAGCCCAGGGAAGCCCAGAGGAACTGAATGGGAAATTGTGACTCACGGAGGGGCTGGTGCCAGAATGCTGCTCTTGGGAAAAGGGCTGCGGGAGGGCTGTGGACCCTTTAGCTGGAGGCTTGGGGGTTTCTGTAAGGGCTGGGGGATGAGAGGGATACCACGGGGTTGATTTTGTGGGTGCTAGTATGTAGGCCCTGACTGGTACTCAACCCTCCTTTAGGAGTGCTAGAAGAGGCCTGAGGATACCTGGCTGGCAGTGGGCTGATGAGCCCAGGTGTTGGGGCATCCTAGCATCCCAGAGGGATGGGACTGAAAAGCAGGAGGGGCATTCAGTAAACAAAGCCCTCTTGAAAGAGGAGGAGCCTGCGGCCCACAGAGAGAACAGATATCACAGACCGCACACCTGGGCTTCCCACCCATACCCAGGCACCATCACAGGTGAAATCCATGCTCAAGCAGAAGCAGAAGCAAGACTGAGCGGGGTTTCTGCTGTAGCCGGGTTCCCCTTTCCCTGCAGCACTGGCATACAGGGCTCCAAACGCCTGTGTTCACAGAGGCCAAGGCCATCTGGTTAACTTGGGATGCCCCTGTGGAGGCGTGGGGAGACACTGAGGCCGTGCCCTCCAGTCCCAGGAAGAGCGAGCGCATCACCAAGGGCAGCTCAAACTTACCTGTGAGCCACCTGGGAGCCTCGCAGGCTGGACATGGTTTCTTCCAGGTTCTGTCGAAGATCCAGAACATTCTGTACTGTCCTCTTTCTCTGTGACTCTGGATCTGGCAAGGAAAGCAGAAGGAGGTGGTGAATGAAAAAGACTTCCTGAAGGCACCTGGGAGTCAGGGAAGGGGAGACAGACACCATATTTCATTGATCATTGTTGCCTCTGGTTTGGAGAGGTTCTTCTCACAGCAAAGACAGAGATCACAGGCAAGGTTTTCTGTGGTGGAGTGAAATGGAACCCCCACCCCACCCCCCAAACCTCCTCTGCAGCAGTATGCTGGTGTGTGCTTAGGGCTCTTGGAGGAGGGACACTGTGATGGACAGAACTTGTCTATTTTCACCCTATAACTATCCCTACATGGCCAGTTTCAGTCCATCAACATATCACGGGCCATCGTTCTGAAGGGTTGGGACATTCGGAGCTGCTCTGAGAGGTCTAAGAGGTGGTCCTAACAGCCTCCTAAAGGTAAGGTGGCTGGTGGGAGCGGGAGATGAGCAGCCATTTTCTGGGGCAGTTCAGACCCTATTCAAGAGTTAGAATCCCATCTGAGGAAGAAGCACAGGTGTGACCAGAGTCCAGTCACAGTCAGGACCACTTTGCTCAGCCTTGGTTTCCAGGCAGGATGATGTTAGCCTGGACAGATGAGAGCCTCTAACTGGAAGAGAAGCTTCACACTTTCTCCCATCCAGGGATGGGAATAGCATCCAAATGATGGAACAACTCAAAAGACCTTCTTCTCCCTTCTATTGACCCATCCAAGAAATCTTTATCAAATACCCACTTGGGGCTGGGCATGGTGGGGTACACCTTTAATCCCAGCACTCAGAAGGCAGAGGCTGGTGAATCTCTGTGAGTTAGAGGCCTGTCTGGTTTACATAGCAAGTTCTAGGCCAGCTGAGGTTACACAGTAGAGGCCCTGTTTCAAAAGAGAAAAGAAAAAAGAAGAAAATGAAAGAAAACAGAAAAACAGAAAAACCTCTAAAACAATGAAACAAAACAAAACAAAACAAAACAAAACAAAACCAAAAAACAACCCAAAGTCTTCAACTCAACTTGGTACTAGGCATTGTGCTAGGCTCTGAGGACACTAAGAGTCTTGAACCCTGCTCCATGGAAAACCTTTTACATAGGGACCCAAAATCACTGTCACTGAACAGAACCCAGCTTTCCCAATCCTCCTCAAGAGATGGCTTCAGCAGTTAGTAGTGACGGAGATAACAGTGGGACCATCCCTCTCCTCCCTCCTTCAACCCTTCCAGCCCTCTGGACAAGCCAACCTTACCCCACTCCCAGGCCCAGCCTCTCTCCACCCACAGACTCAGCAGGGGAGCAAGCTCCTTTCGCTGCCAAAGAGAACATTTCCGAATCCCCTAAGAGGTATTTTTTTTCTCAAGACTGAGCTCAGGCTGGCTGACTGTCACTGGCTGGCTGGCCAAGAGAGGCTGGGTGGGGTGGAAGGGCCATGCTGTATGGCTCTCCCCAGAGCCTCTGGGACACCTTCTTCAAGGACCAGTTCCAATCCTGGGCCCAGCCATCTCTGTTTCCCTTCTTTGGGGTATTGTCCCTCCCTCCAGCTTCTTAAGCCAGTCCTCTGTACTCAGGGCTCCATGATGGTGTCAAGGGACAAGGGGAGCTGGCAGGCCTCCATGCCAGTGGTCTGAGCTCTGTCCACAGCCCTGGCGTCGTCTCTCTGGCCTGTTTATCCTGGCAAGTGTCGCCTTGCAAGCTGCTCCCTAACTTTAAGTGATGGCTTGGCATGGGACACAGTCAGGGTCAGACAGTGTACACCTATATTTTAAGGTTTAATTCACAAGATCAAGAACACAGCACGGGTTTCACAAAAGGGTGACGCTTTCTGTGGTTTGGATGGAAATGAGCCAAGGTATATATATCTTCAAAGGGTGTTTCCAAAGAGGAAAGTGCCAGAGAGTTATTCAGAGGCTTTTGGGTATGCCCAGTCCTCTGCATACATCATCCAGTCCAACCCCATCTCCCATCTGTAAAATGGGAGATTTGTGCTATTGGTCCATTTTACAGATGGGAACACTGACACTTTGAGATCAAATAAATTACTCAAGGCCACATAAAGCACAGGGTAGAGCTAGAGTCAACCTCTTTTGATGCACTTCTGTATCAGCAGTAACATGCACAGTGACTGCAAACAGTAAGTGCTTAATGATATCTCAAGATTTAATGAGAGCTACCACCATTTAAAATCGTTCATGTATGTGTGAGTATGGATCTATTTGTGTATGTGTGCATGTGTATATGTATGTATGTGTGAATGTGTATGTATGTGTATGTATATGTACATATGTGTATTGTACGTGTGTGTGTTGGATACGGTGGCATTAAAAAAAAGGCCCCCTCTCTTTTGGTCAGCTTCATTCCTAATTCTTTAGGTTTCTGGGCACTGCAGGGAATGATGGGAACTAGAACCCAGAATCTTGGTAGTGACAGAGAACAATACACAACTCCCAATATATCAAGCATGGCGCCTTCTCAACCCAGCCTCATCAAAGACCTCTGCCCCAACCCCTACATTTTCCTATATCAACCGAGTAGAGTAGAATATACACAAATACCACACACACCACACACCACACACACATACACACACCACACACACATACACACACCACACACACATACACACACCACACACACATACACACACCACACACACCAGGACTCAACTCTTCAAAAACCAGAGACACCAAGGTCCTGGAAATGGCTTTGCCCGGTCCTATGTGTCACAGAGGTGGGAAGCCAAGATGCAGGAGCATGACCATCTGGATGGCAGAGAGGCTAAGAATTATCTGCAGACCCCATGGTAGGCTTAGAGATGGCAAGAAAGCTTGATTAGATAGGAATGACCGGATATGTTAGAGCCCTGGCTGGGATGGTCCTGTAGAGGCTACACCCTAAAGCTCTCTAGGTGCCTCAGCAATGCCCCCTAGTGGCCATCTAGACTATGACATTTTACATTTCCACAGCTAGGTCTGCTCTGTGTGTGTGTGTGTGTGTGTGTGTGTGTGTGTGTATCTGACTGTGTGTGTAGTATGTAGTGTATGTGTGTGTGTGGGGGGGTGATATTCATATTTCTGATCTTCAGGTCAATTTTTCTGTGTTTAGCTTTCATTAAGTTGTATTTGCAAAAAAAAAAACTCACCCTACCCCTTACCCTCACCCCTCCACATCTGTACCCTGTTCTACCCTAGCACCAGGCCTATTTTTCCTAAGCTTTGCCTCTTTCTCACAGAGCACAGTGAGAATGAAGATCTGGAAGGGGTGGAAGGATTTGAAGTACTAGTCACTTTGTGGCAACATTTACATAACCTAAAACTTGGAGGCTGCCTCCCCGTGTCTTGGTCAACCCTGTGGTCTCGGCATGGGTGGGTCTGGGAGAAAAAGCTGAGGTATGTGAAAGATGGAGGCGTCTCTTCCTAGTGTTGCTCAGGATGTTTCCAACCTATGTGACACCTTTGTGTATGTTACAGCTAAGTCTTTGCAGAACACGTCATAGCTTCAAGGATGAAGTGTGTGTGTCATGTGTGTATCGTGTGTGTATGTGTGCGTGTGTCTGTATCTGTCTGTCTGTCTGTCTGTGGAGTCTTACTATGGATCAACAATCAAATATACTTGATACACAGGTGCATGCACACAGCAATGCCAGCGACCGTGTGTCTGCTCCACGTGAGGCACGATGGTAAGCATATGACTCTGTGGTATTTCATTTGATTCATTATATTTGTTTGGATTCCACCCCCCATTCTTTCCATTATAATATATTGCCTCAGAGTATGCACATCTCGCCAAGGTGTGCCAATACAGTGTTCTGCAGTTCTGTAGATACACACACACACGCACACACACACACACACACACACACACACACACGCATGGCGGTTTGGATGGCTCTGCCTTCAGTGCGTGACTAAGAAATTCATGAGGAAAAGAGGCAATCTGCACCTGAGAAGGGAAGGCCCGGGGTGCACTAGGAGGGTGGTATGAGCAAATCCCTTCTACTTACCTGGCATGAGACAAGGGGAACAAGCCTCCCAAGAATGCCAAGACAGGGTTTGCTGCTAAGCTAAAGAATTGGACACTGAGGAAAAACTGACTTTCACTTTGGTGTCAAGAACATAGTTCTTAGGCCGGTAGCTGTGGTTTACTAATTTAATCTTAGCATTTGAGAAGCAGAGACCAGCAGAACTCTTGAGTTTGAGGTCAGTCTGGTCTACAGAGTTCCAGGACAGCCATGTCTATATAGAGAAACCTTGTCGCAAACAAACAAACAAACAAACAAACAACAAAAACAAAAAAGAACACAGTTCTTAGTGTCAAGATGAAAACCCACCATCCAGGTCCTCCGCTGCCCCCTTGCTGCTGGGCTGACCCTCAACAGGTTACTTCCTCTTGCTACAGTTTTCCTTTCTGCTAAATGGAGAAAGGAATGACCTCACTGCAGTGAGGCTTAGGGCCTCGTTCACTCACACACTTAGCATAGTGCCTGGCACACAGCAAACTGCCTGGAAATACAGCTGGGATCTGGCAGAAGACAGAGGTGGGCAGACAGTGAGGCTGGAGCTCCCCACGCTCTGCCACTCACAAACAAGTGGGACCATGCTCTTGCTTGCTGAGACCCTCACACCTGGACCTAAGGGCAAGCGAGATACACTCAGCAGACCTTGCTTCTGCACTATCAAGCCTGACTAGCTCCTTTTCTCAGGGCTAGTTGTGCCTTTGGGATGCACTTAGTTACAGGGACTTTCTTGAACCAGAGGCTGAGATGTGAGATAGTAATGGACAGGGAGCCTCCAGCTCAGAGTAAAAGCCCCGACAGATTCAGGCAAGTTCTAGAAGGAGGAGGCTCAGGGGGATCCATCACCCAGTAGTCAGATTTCCCCACGTTCTGTGAGGTTTTAATTATTAGCCAGCAATTAAGTAAACTGCAATAACTTTTGACTATTGAAGCTTTAATTACCTTCACCAATGTTTCAGAACCCACAATCCATGTCGCTCAGGGGAGGGCAATCGAGATCTGGCTGGATC